AATGTAATCACTGGTGGAGCTTGGGGAAAATAGACCTTGACATTTGGGAGTTGTAGTTGCTGGGATTTATAGTTCACTTACAATCAAGGAGCATTCTGAATCCCACCAATGATAGAATTGGGCCAAACATCCAACACAGAACCCCCATGACCAACAGAAAATACTGTGTTTTCTGATGGTCTTTGGTGACCCCTCCTCGCAATCCTCCCCCCCCCCAGGTCCCAGCCTCCAGGTTGAGAAACTCTGACCTAAGGGTACGTCTCGCCTTTAACAGCAGTAATATGGAGAGATAATCTTATATGGTTCAAATTATGTTTCCTCCCTGCCCTACCTAAAGAGAGATCTCACTGAACATTTAAGAATTTGAACTGATCAGCAAGGAGAAGAGAATTTTTTCAGTCTTTTAGTGGATAGTTTCAGCTCCTCAAAAGGGAACTATAATAGACTGTAATTCAAACAGTATTTGCCATTTCAATTCCTGAGGCAGTTTGATGCCCAGATATGTTTTCCCTTCTTTTCTGAAGAACTAACTGTTCCTTAACACTTAGCATATGCTGTCTGTCTGGAGATTATCATTTTAATTGTGCTCTTGGCTTGGTTCTCCCAAGTGTTTTTAATTGTTTTTTAAATGAATACAGTGAAAGTATGGCATTCAGCCTTAAACTCTAGGTAACCGTAATAGCAAAGGCAATCAACCCAAAGGGTCTCAATGTACTTGTTGAGCAGCCAAACCTTCACAGCATCAAATTCATAATTTTTGATACACAAGAAGACACCCTAAGTAAATAGAGTATCCAGGAACAAGTTTTGTTTTCTGTTTTGTTTTGTTAACATAGTAATCATAATTTTTAAAATGTATTTTATTACATGCTTTCTCCCTCCCATAAATGAGGCTCAAGTGGCTGACAATAAAACATACAATAAATGGGTGCATTAAAATGTCAAAAACAGATGCCAGAATCCTATGTAATCTGTTACATTACATGCCTGTGTACACAGCCTGACCTCTGTATCCACAGGGAATCCATTCCAAGACATCCCTCCATGGATACCTAAAACTGTGGAAAATATTGAACCCTATACTACTGCAGACTCTCCAAGCTTGCATCTTCTTCCTCCCTGATAACTTGTGCTATCTTGACCACACTTTGATCTGTTTGGCTACATTAGTCCCAGTTTCCATCTGTGAAATACTGGAGGGTATGTTATTGTTGAACGTTAATAAAAACAACTACTACTACTACTACTACTACTACTACTACTTTAGTCTTGTATCCCTCCACCATCTCTCCAAAGGGACTTGGGGTGGCTTACACATAGGGCTTTATTTCATGTTTTACACAAAATAAAACATGAAATAAAGCACAATAGAAAATGCAATTGAACAAACATACAGACATATAAAACACCAACTTGAAACTCAAATAACAGTGGTCATCAACCGAATGGAGGAAAGGTACTGTAAGAAGTGACCAGGCTATAAACAATAGGGCAAGGGAATGAGGTGAGTGCAAAGTTGTGACCATGAAACAAGGGCATGGGATGAAGTGCAAGGTTGCATAACTATTGCATAGAACAAATAGGGACTAGGCTTGTTGGAACAACCAGGTCTTCAGGTCCCTGCAGAAGGAGGACAATGTGGGAGCTTGCCTAATCTCCTTGGAGAAGGTATTCCAAAGGCGAGAAGCCACCACGGAGAAGGCCCTCTCCCTTGTCCTCACCAACCTCACCAACCGCGACGGTGGTGGGACTGAGAGGAGGGCCCTCCGTGGCAGATCTTAGAGCCCATGCTGGTTCATAGAGGGGGATGCAGTCACAAAGATAGGCAGGACCCGAACTGTTTAGGGCTTTAGTTTGAATAGGGATGGAAAACATATCAGCAGCCAATGGAGCTGTTTTAGTAGAGGCATCGTGTGCTCCCTCTAGCAGTTTCTGGGCCATCTTCAAAGGCAACCTCACATAGAATGAGTTACAGTAATCCAATCTAGATGTAACTAAGGCATGGACCACCTTGACCAAGTGAGGTTTTTTGAGGTACTGTTGCAGCTGGTGCACAAGTTTTAACTGTGTGAAGGGTCTCCCGGCCACCGCCAATACCTGGGCTTCAAGCGTCATGCTGAGTCCAGGTGGACCCCCAGGGAGTGTAACCCTGTTGAGTACAGGTAACCACCCTATACCCCTATTGGCCTCACGACTGATTAGGAAGACCTCTGTCTTGTCTGGATTAAGCTTCAACTTGTTAGCCCTCATCCAGTCCATCACAGCTGCCAGGCACTGGCCCAGTATCTGGGGGGCTTCCTTGGAGTTAGGGGGAAAGGAGTAGTACAATTGTGTGTCATCTGTGTACAGATGGCACTGAACTCCAAAACTCCAGATGACCTCACCCAGTGGTTTCATGTTGATATTTAAAAGTAAAAATGTATAACTCTTTTTGATTTAATAGCCTTATTCTTAATGGAATTAAGATTCAGACCAGCAATAGTCTATATCCTTGTTAAGTTGCTGCAGGGGGAAGGAGGTGTAGCTTTATATAATCCATCTTTTTTATTTACTTTCCGTTAGTTCAATTGTATTGAAGTTTTACAGTAACCTAACTGTTCAAACCATAAATCTCACGATGCCTAAATGACATTTGGAACTATTTGTAAAGATTTATTTTTTATATTATAAAAGACTTTTCTGTTACAGCTTCAAGCTTTAATCAGTGCACGATTAGCCAGAGCTTTAGTAGATTCATCAGAGGGCATACATTTTAATTAGTGGTGGTAAATATGAATTCATGAGGCTACAAGAAAAGCAGTTTTAGCTTTTGAGGTTATTTTATATTTCATTTATTAGTCTAACTGCAAGAAAAGGGAAACTATGAAAGATAGCCTCTTGCACTAAAACCGACAGGTAGAATTTGTTCATTAAAAAGTGTAAACAGAGTTACACTTCTTTTTTAATACATCAAAAATATCAGTATTGATGTTTTGGTAATATACATTTAATTGTCATTAATTAATCAGTTAGCAGACAGGCAATTAATCAACCACTATAGCGTTCTACAATATAAATAGCCTTCAGTGAGATAGAAAAATTAGGGCAGAGATTCTATCTGCATGAACAGATAATTGCTCAGCTAGCCTTCTTTTATAAAAACAAGGGGGAAAGGGAGTGTCCAAAGCTGGTTTGGCAGTGAAAAAGCTTTTCATATCAATTTGTCTTTGAGGAATATGTCTTCCTTTCTCCTGCTTAGGAGAGAACACCTTCTACTTTTAGTTTATTATCCACCAAAAGATTTTGTGTGACTTGAGAAAGTGCAAGTCGCTTCTGGTGTGAGAGAATTGACCATCTGCAAGGACGTTGCCCAGGGGATGCCTAGATGTTTTCATGTTTTATCATCCTTGTCAAAGGCTTCTTTCATGTCCCTGCATGGGGAGCTGGAGCTGACAGAGGGAACTCATCCACACTCTCCTCAAATTCAAACCTCTGACCTCTCGGTCTTCAGTTGGCACAATAATTTAATCCATTGTGCCACCAAGCACTCGATCAAAAGATGGAAGGCTAACCTTCATCTTCCAGTGCTTGTAAATGGTGTCACCAATATTTCAGATAAGCACTCTTGGTGGAACCATCCAGGTAGGATAATAAAAGATCAGAGGATAAACAGATTCTAGTTTCCAATGGTCCATCTACTGTACACCAGGCGGTTTAGCCCGGTCTTGGATCTGACAGGTTTGCGCCAATTTTGAAGCCATTATTTGCATAACTGGGGAGCAGTTTTCTTCTTCTAGTGCTGTGCACACCTTCCCTCTGTGTGCAGTTCTATGTGTACACTTTTTCCTGGGGCCAATCCAGAGTGTCAGTTTCCAGATAAGCCCCAGGATGCTTTGACCACCACCCCCAGAGTTGGAAAGGAGTCCTGATCTCCAGTGGTGCTGAACAAGCAGCTTTACTTTTTCCCTCCTGCTCTTGTTATAGCAGCAGCCATGTGCAACACAGCTAACGTCCATCATTTGTTGCCTGAAGTGACATCATCCAAGGCACCAGGCTGATGTGGGAGAAGAAGAGGAGGAATTTCTCCCCCTTTTTCTGATCATATTTGTCATCCCAGCTGACAAGCAATGGACACTAGCCATATTGGCCACCACTACAATGAGAAAAGGTGAGGACAGTGAGTGCCATCCAATGTTTCTGGGCCACCTCACCTGGTGAACATGGAATGGCCATGTAAACAGTACCATCAGGAAAAATTCAAAGCAATCCACAACCTTTAAAACAGGGTTCAGGACTAAGTTAAATAGCCTTGGCCTACATTGACTTGAAACAGTTCCATGTGTTGTGCACTGTCATGGAGCTGATTTGCTACTACATCCTTTGAGATAAAGGTTCGGTATAGATGCACCCTGTGTTCCACTGCCACTCCTAGGTAATTATAGAGCTCCATAAAAGCTCTTGCTATTGTAGGAACCTCTGTTGACATCAGAATGGGCTGCCCATGTAAACAAGAAGAAGAAGGGGAGCAATTGCTTGTCCTAATAGTGGTACTAACACTTGTTAATTTATAACCATGAGGACTCAATTGACCCACAGAGTTGACTGGATGTGCTGTTGGCCATTCATAGTCTCTTGCATTAACCTACCTCACAGGAGTGGGAAACAATGTGATATACTGCCTCTCTAGATTTCTTACAGAAAATAGCATTACATAACCAATCAAAAAGCAAATGTCACCAGGAATTTGCTCACAAAATCTAAAATACAGGCAAGTATTGTTCCTGTAACTACCAGCCATCTTATTGCATTGCAAACAATAATAATTAAAAGGACCAATAGAACAAGGAGTTGGCAAGGAGCCACAAGGCTAATGCTTGCCAATGTGTGAATGTAAGTAGCCGAGACTGAACCTCACCCTGCCAAATACTAAGACAGGGATTTTCCCTGTGGCTCTTATTGGGAAATCATGTCTCTGCTCTCAGTGTACACACACCTTGCAAAATGTTAGATCTTCCCTTCTATCCCCTCCCTTTCCTGCCTCTGCTGTCCAGCCGATAAATGTCCAGGAATATGCAAACTCTTCCCCATTCTGTCCTGAGGAAAAAGGAAGCTTCCGCAATTCCTCCAGGCAGATGCTGTTGGAGCTGTAGTTCTGCTCAGGCTCTGAGAGGGAAGGGAAAACAAACACGCATTGAAGTGTGGACAAGGTAAGTTTCAGCTTTTAGAAATGGAGACGTTTGCTATGCTTCCCAGAATGCCTCCACTAGCAACTGAATGTGATTTTTAGAAACATACACTTTCTTCAAGTTAGTCTGTGTTGTGCTGACATAATACACTACAGTTACTGCAAATACTTTTTTACTTTCCTTCTACTGGTAGGAATGCAAAGGGAGGGGGGTGATTTCAATAGCATGTTGAAAATTTGCAAATAGACAGTAGGAAGGCTGGACTCAAAGTCATACAGAGATGCACTGACAACCAATTGTCTAGTGCAGTGGTTCTCAACCTTCCTAATGCTGCAACCCCTTAATACAGTTCCTCATGTTGTAGTGACCCCAACCATGAAATTATTTCATTGCTACTTCATAACTGTAATTTTGCTACTGTTATGAATCCTAATGTAAATATCTGATATGCAGGATGTATTTTCATTCACTTGATCAAATTTAGCACACTTGACCAAATTTGAATGCTAGTGGGAGTGGGGGGGGGGGGTTGAATTTGTCATTGTGGAGTTGTAGTTACTGAGATTTATTTACTCCTTTTGTATACCGCCTATATCAGCCAAGGCGACTCTAAGCGGTTGATTTAAGATTTATAGTTAACCTACAATCAAAAGCATTCTGAACTCCAGTAATGATGGAATTGAACTAAAATTGGCACAAAGAACTCCCATAACCAACAAAAAATACTGGAAGGGTTTGGTGGGCATTGACCTTGAGTTTTGGAGTTTTAGTTCACCTACATTCAAAGAGCACTGTGGACTCAAGCAATGATGGATCTGGACCAAATTTGGCACAGATACTCAATATGCCCAAATGTGAACACTGGTGGAGTTTGAGGAAAATAGACCTTGACATTTGGAAGTTGTAGTTGCTGGGATGTATATCTAACCTACAATCAAAGAGCATTCTGAATTTCACCAACAATAGAATTGGGCCAAACTTCCCACACAGAACCCCCATGACCAACAGAAAATACTGTATTTTCTGATGTTCTTTGGCAACCTCTCTGACACCCCCTCGCAACCCCCTCAAGAATCCCAACCCCCAGGTTGAGAAACACTGGTCTAGTGGAATCTTAAAAACACATTAATCAGTCATGGCATAAGTTCTTTTTATTGACATGAGGTTACTTTATTAAGAACCCTTCTCCAATACTGGGAGTAGATATTTCCCCACTTGAAGTTATTTCTGACTTATGGCAATCCTAAAGCAACCTATCATGAGGTTTTCTTGGCAGAATTTGCTCAGAGGGGGATTGTCTTTGCCTTTCGTAGTGGATGAGTGTGGTTTACCTAAAGTCAAATCATGGGTTTCCATAGCTAAGCGGGGATTTGAACCCTGGTCTCCAGTGCTGTAGTCCAACATTCAAAGCATTACATCACACTGGTTCTCAGTGAGTGAACTGAGGCAAATACCTATTCTAGAATTTAGTCCCAGGATTGAAATGTATTTAGTATGTTACAATCTCTTTTATCCACTTAAGGGTAAGAGCAAATTGTGATGTGATGTGATGTGATATGTCATGGGTGGGAAATATTATTATTCCTCATAATCAATATAAGAGGGTTCAACTGGAGAGGGAATCTCAGATCCCATCCTTGTGTTCAGAAGTTCCTCTAAAATATGGATAGCCAGATTCCCTTTGTATGAAGGAGTAACCCTTTCTCACACTGATCCCTTCATATACTGGCCAAGTGTGTGGATGGTCATAACCAGGGGTAGCCTTAACTGCCCTATACCTCTTGGTCAAAACCCTGCTGCTAGTCCTGGCTAGAATAGACCCATTGGACTGACTGAATAAATTTACTTGGAAATTATCAACAGGATGCTAGCTAATCTTCAAATGCTCCCAGTGCATGGGTTATCTGAACAGACACAAACACATCAATTTTGTATGCCTTTAGGTCAGCCTAACTTTATGTATTGTATGTTTTCTGAGGTTGGTTATTTTGTGCTGAATGGCTTTGCTCCCAGACAAGTAGGCACAGGGACTGGACAGCAGCCTAAATCAACAATAGCTATGATTCAAGGACAGCTGTGTTAGACTATTTCGGGAAATATTTCCAGTAGCACTGTTGAAACTGAGTATTTTAAGTATAGGTTTTTCTGGTCTCCAGTCCAATTAATCAGATCTAAAGTCCACAAAAGCTTGCGCTTGTTGTTGTTTATTTGTTCAGTCGCTTCCAACTCTTCGTGACCTCATGGACCAGCCCACGCCAAAGCTCCCTATCGGCCGTGGCCACCCACAGCTCCTTTAAGGTCAAGCCAATCACTTCAAGGATAACATCCATCCATCTTGCCCTTGGTCAGCCCCTCTTCCTTCTTCCTTCCATTTTCCCAACATCATTATCTTCTCCAAACTTTCCTGTCTTCTCATTATGTGGCCGAAGTACTTCATCTTTGCCTCTAATATCCTCCCCTCTAGTGAGCAGTCAAGCTTGTGCTAGGAATGCCTTTTTTTCTGAAAGATACATTTTCCCATTAAACAAGCCAACATGGTTACAGAAATAGAGTAGTAGGCAACATTTAGTTACCATTTCTGATAGGTTTTCGATAGTGGAACAGACCACGTAATGCTCCACTACACAATATCCATTTTAATGCTGTTGTATGGCTCCCATTCTGTGGTGTGGTGAAGTTCTATCCAGAGCATGGAAAAATTACTTTTGTGACCAGCTCCCCAAACTCCCTATCCAGCTCATTTCACTTAGACCCTTTCAAAGTAAAGTAATAAATACGTAGGATCCTCCTTGGAAGATGTTGCTGTATATGCTGAAAAATTCTGAACAAGAAAATCAATTTTCTTACATATTTGTGTGTATACCCACATGCGTGTGTGCACGCACACACACTACTGCCCTGTCAAAAGTCATATGACTTATTTCACCCTGCAAATGAAAAAAAGATTCACCTTGAATATTCAACTATATTTCATACGATTCCTTGTATACATAAACACATCTTCAAAAGAAAGCTAGTCCCACGAATGATAAAGACTCACAGCTACAAATTGCAAAATATTTTTTTCCCAAAAGCTCTACATTTAGGGAAGAGCATGAGAGCTCTACAGTAGAGAATTCTAAACATCTCCCTTAATTACAGATTCCAGGATCCTATAGGATTGGGATAGAATTGCTATAAATATCTAGTGTGGATATTCCCCTGCACAACTGTTGATATCAGCAGGCACTTGTTTGCCCATGCCTCTACCTCAAGCATGGGCAAACTTGGACCTTCCAGGTGTTTTGGACTTCAACTCCCACAATTCCTAACTGCCCCATTTCTATTACCATTGATGATGATCTCAGAATATATTTACACTAGCACCACGGTTGTCAAATTTTGATCCTTCAAATGTTGTGGACTTCAGCTTCCATAGTCCCTGCCTGATGACCAAACTGGCTGGATCTTTTTTGGAGCGGAAGTCTGAAACAGCAACTTGAATTTGAGAACTGCAGTTGGCCCTCCATGTTTGTGGGTTTAATTTTGGAGATTTGATTAATATATTCTCTCTAGGAATCTCTAGAGAACTCACCATAAAGCCCTGGTGAAGCATCCCACTTTTCCGGGATTCTGGAGAGGAAAGAGGGCACAGAGGGACGAATCTGTCACTCCGTGCACAGATCCCTCTTGGTGACACTTTCCCCTTGTTGAGAAGGAAGCATCCAGCGACACTTTCCCTCCAGCTGAAGGAAGGGCTTCCATGGGGAGCTTTCTTGCGTCGTCTGATGGGCAGTGAGCCCATCAGTCCTTCAGATGAAGTGGAAGTGTCCTGGGATGCTAAAATCACCCTATCTGATGGGGTGGTATGTTCTCCAGCACCACTCTGCGGTCAACTTCCAACAGAAGTTCACCATAGATTTGTGCTGCAAAACTTGGAGATTCCTAGAAAAAAATAGGCATTTGTAGATCCTCCAGCATGATTCTATGGAGAACCTAGAGGTTCCTAGAGAGGTATTCTCTCAGGTTTCTTAAAAAAAGCTCTTTCCCCATGTTTTTTCCACTTCTGTGGGGTTCCTGAGTCTCTAACTTCCACAAAAGTGGGCAGTTACTGCCTTGATTTAATGCAGTTTCTTAGACCTTAGGGAATTCTATATATTTTAGCTAACAGTCAATCCCAAGATTCTGTACGATGGAAGCATAAGAATTAAAGTTGAATAATTAATGTCTTTAACACACCATTAAAGTATGCACTGTAGACACTCTTGTTCTTGTGTAAGTCCACGTTCAGCAGCCCAGCTAGCTTCCCAAACTATTAATGTCAGCAACTGAAACTTTCATAAAGGTATGACCTGTATCATTATATCACAAGGCTTTCAGCATTCAGTACAAGTGTATGTGTGTCTTTGAACAGCCTCAGTGGAGGGTAACCACGCGTGTTTTAAGGCAGTCTTATTTCAATGGGGATTGTAATGTGAATGTCCAAATGTACTTTCGCTGGAATGCTCATTGACATGACTAAGAGTTCTCCCCCACTTTCTCTCACACAAAAACAATTATTTACATATATAGCACAAAAGTGGCTCAATCTAATCCTCAGAGTTAGAAATAATGTCTTCCAACTTCACAGAAATCATAGATTATTTCAGTGTTTCGACCAGAGAAGTGCATCATATGTCTTTCAAAGTACTGAAATCTGAAAAAAAAAATCACTTAACCATGAAGAAGTAGTTTTGCAAAAATGTTTCTGGTCTTGTGCTCTTTAGATTTATTAAGTATTTCTATTTTATTCTACACTAAGACAATACTGAATGTTCCTTAAGATTCCATTGTAATATTTTTGTATGCAACTGGAATTTGTGCAGCGTTATTGTATGAGACTACTCTAAATCACCAGTTATCAACCAATCTAGGAGCTTGGAAGGTCATTCTGCCCCATTTTCCCCTTATAATGCCACAGCATCTACTTTCTTTAAAAAATTATACCATTTAAAAATTGCAACCATCTGAAAAATATAACTGTAGGCATTTCTTACAGAGTA